CCAGCATAGAGTCTTCTCCAATATATGACTTGGGTTGAAATATAATTGTCTAATATGGAAGGACAGAACTATTTGATGCCATTAAAATTCTATATTCAGTCTTTCCACGGGATCTGACCTAGTTCATCTGCCTCACCTAAAAGTTTTTCATAATCTAATTCTGCCTTGTCTATCTCTGGCTAAGGAAAATAAATAATGAGAAATAAATTCTCTGGATTGGGTCTTCAAGTCACACTAAACCAGGTAGGTAAGTAGCAGGCCAGAAGTAATCTGTGAGGGGAAAAAAAGGGTATTGTTATTTGCAATGTAATTCCTGGTGGCTTGGATGTCAGGTCTGGAGTGCTGGAAGGGAGGTGGAGAAGGAATTGGGGGAGGGTAGATAGAGGTGGGGAATGGAAAAGAGGACAAGGGAGGTGTTTAGCTTTCATTTGCAAGCGTGATACCCGCTGCTTTGTTTATGGATTTGATGCTATTCATATAGTCTTTGCAATATTAATTTTTAATTTATGATGCTCATTAGGAGACACTTAAAACAGAACAATTATCATTTATCTTGATATATTATTTACTAGGACTGACTGTCATGGTTAGGGGCCCATGATTAGTGAGAGGGGGATGGAGAAGAGCTTCCAAAGGTGCTGGGGTAAAAGGATAGGAGCTTAGGAAGCAGTTGTCAGAACCCAAGGCCCAAAGTTCTGATGTCGAAGTGAAAGCCACACAATCCCTAATCAAGACTCAGGAGGCCCTCTCCAAGACAAGCCTGGAATAGTACTTAATGAACCTGCAGGATCATATTAATGAGACTCTCTCTTAGGCTACCAGCTCATCAATTATTCATCCAGCTGCATTCCTGGTACTTTGCTATCTTCCTCCTCTTTTTGCATTGGTGTGATTACTTTTTTTTAACCCTCCATTTCCTTACCTGGAGTGTAAACAAAGCCTTCTGTTCTATAGTTTCCTTTTCTTCTGCTCAAACACCATCTCTTCTCAGTACTCATCCAGGATATCAAACATGATAATGGAAGTCTGCTACAGGGGAAATCTAACTTCTGAGAGTGTCAGGGAATTAGGGCACTCCTGACTTTTTGACTCCTTCATACTCTGGGCTTGTCTGTACATTGCGCTGATTATCACACGGTGTTATAATTATCTATCTATGTATGATTCTTCCCCATTAGACTGTGAATTCCTAGAGAATGCCTGATATGTAACAGTTACTGAATAAGTAAATGAGTGAATGAATAAATGAATGAATATGGGTGCTCAGTTATGCCTAATATTCAGCCCTGTCTACCTATAGTCAAGAAGATTGGGAGGCTGAGGCCTAAGCACTGCCTGCATGTTCCAGAGGAAGCTAAATGAAACAGAACATAACAGAATTCTGCGTTTACAATCTGGGTCACTCAGGTGAAGATATGTCTGTAAGCTTGGTGTAGAAAACTCACCAAGTCCGTGTGGTAATCAGTTCTACATATGATTATTTTAATAATTTGTTTTAAAGAAATTACCACAATCGACCATAGTTTTAGGCACAGAATTATGTTTTATACAAGTGAGAGGAGAATTTCAGTGAGCTTTCTGAGTGAAGATCAATGTTCTTAAGGAGGAGGGAGCTTTGGAGTGGGACAGCAACTGAGCTTGTACTAAGTATATTATTTGGTTCACTCGCTCAAGGTCAATCAGGAAGCCAGTTTCCGTTCTTCAGGAAGAGAAGTGCTGGAGGCTGTGATGCTGATCAAGGTCATTACCCCATATAGATAGTGAGGATAGAAAAAAACAAAGACTGCAAGTGTTTTTCATTTGTCCTGGGCAGGTGGGATGATGGACCGTAGTGGTAGCACTACCCGAAAGGCAGATTGACAAGGTGAGGCAAGGCAGAGATGGGTGTGAGGAACCGTCTTGACATTCCATCCCCCAGCATTATGCCCAGCAAGTTATGACTACTCAAATACTAGAAAAGAAAGCAAAGATCCAAATGATTAGAACGAATAAAAGGAAGTAAGAATATGGGGATATAATTGTTCAGCTTTGGCAGGCAGGCTGCAAAGCCAAAAGTGATTGGAGACTTTTGCCAAATGGATTCTTGTTAAATCTCAACTAAGTTGCAATTCTATGGGGTCGTATCTAGAGAAGCATTGTCTGGAAGTTCTCTCTATAGACCTTTACGTTGGCTCTCATCAGTGAGTCATGCTGAGAATGGGTTATAAGTATGCTTGGGCTATTGCTGTCCTTACTCCTTGAGGCACCTAGCTGGTCTGGGATGGTTGGGATCCTCCAGCTGTTTGTCCTGTACCAAGAGAAGCCTTATCCATTGATCTTATGTTATGGATTCTAAAATTCATGTTATTTTTTTCTCTCATTTAACATTTCTGAAATTGGAATGTGTTTTCCCATGAATATTCTACAATCTCTTTTGGCCAGGTGGCAGTGATGAGGTAGTTGTTATTGCCTGCACATGCCAAAACCTGGTCCCAGCTGTTCATGCTATACAAACTTCAGTTGAGTGATGTGCATTGTACTGCTTGCATTGGGTTGAGTTTCCCTTAAAGTGTCTTCAATAAAATACACTATGATTTAGCATTGAAACAAAACAGTTATTATGCACATGGAAAGGCAGGGAAACAGAGAAGTATGTATAAATGTGATGTTGATAAAGGAAAATAAGTCACAGAAGTGATGAACAGCCAAATGCTTTATGAGTTTTGAAGAAAGGAAGATGCCCACAAATAGATGCAACCTGTCTGAAACGAAGCTCTTCAATTAGAGGTGGGAAAAATGGTTTTCTCTGTTTTAGGGATAAAGTAATGATGTGTCTTTCAGTGGATAGATTTTTAGCTTCTAATCATTTTCTGTGTGTGTCATGGTGTAAAATACATTGGAAACCCTGGCTTTAAGCTCTTGGATTATTTTTTCTCATTCGAGCTTTCTGGTAAAGAAATAATTTAAATTCAGCATAAACTTTTAAAATTATTAAAATAGTAGTACTGGTTGTGTTAAAGAATAGCTACCTTGTGACTGATTTACCATGTCTTGTATACAGTATTAATTTTTATCTAATTTCAGTTTAGCTTTACATGTTAAAGATGGAATTAAACTGCTGGTCCTTGAGGCAGTTTAAGTTCAGGCAATTGATATAAGTGGTGGGTACTGAGTCCAGCTTTGCCATTCCCAGTGGGAGCAATGGGAAGCACTCAGAGGGTAAGAGTCAATAGGTTCTTTCTGTGTTGTGTATAATATCTGTAATACACACTTCATGCTGACTGCATGTGATTAAACAGGATGCAATCTCTAATTTTTGGAGGTCTAATTAGAGGCTGGCCTCCAACTATCACTAGCTTCTTCATCAAAACAGACTAGGTCATTCTGAAAATGCAACTTAAGGATATAAATTAGAAAATCAAATAATTTTAGGTACAAAGTATCTTGAGATGATTTGGTTCAATTCTTTTATTTTAAAAATGCATAGACTAAAGCCCAAAGAAATGAAATGGCCACCTGGCATCTCACAGCTTATTTGTGGCAATAATTAGGCCTTCTGCGCCTGGTGGAGTGTCCTGCCACCATCACACACGTGGGTCTTGTGAGGCAAATTTCCACATAAACAAAATGTATAATTTTTATGTATTTTAGTTATGTATAAAACCTTATTAGATCCAATTCTTCTTCTAAATCTTCATGCTATTTGCACCGATGAAAACTTACTGAGATTTCATCACTAGAGACTTAATCCTGGGCTTAAAAATACACTATTCAGTCTTAGAAGTTTTCACTTCTGAGTTATTATGACCTTGGTGATTTTTACTGTTCATCGTTTAATCTTTCTATTTTCCCAATATAAAAAAATGTAAACTTGGAAAAAATGCTTCAATCTCTCTTGGATTTAAAAATGTATCAGCTTGACTCTAACCAGGAGGGTAGAGATGAGGAAGTAGGTAGCAAAAGTCATTTTCTCTCCTCTCTATTCCACTTCCTCCAATGGAATTGACAATATATTTTAGAGGCCTATTAAACTGATAAATACATTCTGGATGGAATGACCCATCTTACTGATTTTAGGATATGACATTTAAGGGCTTCTGAAGAAAGAGCAGAGAGGGCTTGCCAATATATCTTAGTATACAACAAATTGAGGTTGACTCTGCCTTGCTTTTTTATGTTTTGCAGCAGATGAAGCTTCAAAACTAAAATAGAAAGGAAAATATTTACAGTGTGTAGTGTGTGTGGGGGGTTATCTAAGATGTAACGTGTATGTGTACACACATAGACACACATACCTATTTGCTTCATGCATGACATAGATTTTTCTTCCCCACTACAGATCTTAAAGGTTAAGAATACCATTGTCCAGTATGTCCACAAAAGCCTGAGTGAAGCGTCACCCTTCTCTATATGGAAACTTAATTTTTTTTTAGTATTTATTCTCAAAATTAACTTCACCTTGGTTGTGTAGTTTATCTAGATTAAATATCAAGTATCTTTTCAAATAAAAAATATGAAAATAAAAAAATTTAAGAATAAAGAAAACAAAGAAAGAAAAGGAGAAGGAAAAAGGAACTCTCTTCTCCCTGAAATAAAATATAAGGGGCATGATAACATCAGAGAGACTTTCAAAACCATGCCTAAAAAAAGCCTGGTGCCTGGAAAGATGATACATGATGGTCAAGTGAACTGAAACTCATGGCTTGAGTCACTGTGAAAATAAGTAATACATGCATTAGCATTACAAATCTGCTTCTTGACAATGTATAGAGAAAGGTTATTAGAATGAACAATTTTAGAAAAGTGATAGCATGCAAACTGCCATTCAAAATAGAAATAATTTACTTTACCTATGACTATTTTACAACATGAGGAGCTTTGCTAGATGTTTTTGTTGAAAATGTGTTGTTGTTGTTCTAAAAGTCTTTGGGATAATAATTCAAAGTTGTGCTGAGCCGTGGAGTGAGCACAGGGGTAGAGGTGATGGTGTTTTGTCCAGTTCCTGACAGGGACTTACTTACTAGGTATCTTACAGAACCAGCTCCAGGGTGGGCAGTCCTGAACCTACGTGTCCCAAACTGTGTGGGGGCTGACTAAGATCATTGCCCTAATTACCTCTAACTTCAAAATTCTGTGGTTCATTTGCTTGTCTTGTGTGATAAAATCTATCTGAAACCTTTACCAGAAATGAAGATAGAAAATAACCATTAGATCGGAAGAAAAAAGTCTACATCCATCCCCCGCTCAAAATAGAAATTTTTCCCATCGAAAACTATATTCTGGCCTCAATTACCATCACATACACTTGCTAAGAAATTAAATTTGTCAACTCTTATTTCCAGTCACTAGTGGGGCATAATATCTTCAAAATGTCATTTGTGCTCATTCCCCCTCAATACAGTGAAGCATCAAAGTTGAATGTCCACTTAGGCTTTCTCCTCTTCACCCTCATGTCTTAGTCATTTAAAGAACAATGCTTTTGAGTAATGGAGTTACTGTTTCCTCCTGATATTTTTTTTCTTACAGAATTCAGTTTCCTTGGCAGCTCCTAAAGGGAAAATTCAATCATGAGATGTACCATAGAAGAGGGCACCATGCTACTTTTAATATTAGCCCTTCTTAATCTAGATAAGGTCATCTAACTTTTCTGATTTTTGCCTGGGGAGAACCAGCCCCCGCCCAACTTTATTTTTTAAACATATATCCTTTTGTCTGGTTGGCCAGTAATTGACTTTGTCCCTTTTTTCATTTATTTCCCTGTCTCCTGGTTGTATCATCTTCTCCCAGGAGTCTTAGGTTAGAAGTTTTCCCTTTTGTGAAACCATGACAGGTGCCTAATTGAATGATGAATGTCCCTTTATTACTCTGTAATTGAACTGCCAGCTTTTTGATTGGTTTGTAGAGATGTTCCCGCCCGCATCAGGCACTGCAGGGGGCTTGGTAGTTGGCAGTCTGGTCCTACACTCCATCTGTCTAATCCCATCTAGCCCCCACTTGCTTTTTTGGGGGTGGTGATAGAGGTAGAGAGTGAGGGGGAGGGAAGTCATAATAAATTATGCTAATTCCATGTGGCTCTGACAATGAGAAGATCGTATTGTTCCGTGCATCTTGGGGGTAAATGCTTCAAGACATTTTGTCATCATGGGTTCCTAGCCTGACAGGCCCAGGATGAAGATTAATGGGCCTCACCTGAGTGACAGAACAGGGGATTGTGGGGAAGAGAGGGTCATTCATCATACTCTGACAGGTGTCATTCAATCCGACAGCAGCTCTACCGTCACCCAGCTAGCAGTTCCATTTTTCTGCCAGTTAAGCAAGGAGTTTAATAACATCCCCAGAATTAAAACTCATTCTTTGTAGCAGGTCTGACAGCTGAAAATAAGAAAATCAATTCTTCACATGTTATAGCACAGTTAACTGACTGGGGCTTTGACTCTAATTTAGTCTTTGGGCTGCATTTCAAGCAAAGAGCTTTTTGTAAGACATCGTCTATTAAAATTTACCCATAGTGCTAACTTTGGGGTTGTTATTATTGTGGGTGCAACAAAGATTCAGGCTTGCATGTCCAGTGTCATTTTACTCACTGCATGCTGAAACACATCCCTGCAGTAGCTGGGTCTCTCCTACTTTATCCTCATTAACAATGTTTACTGCTTCTCTCTTCATTAATATTGATCCCCTCCCCAACTACCAAGAACAATAAGACAGACACTAATTTGAAACATTTGGTATCATTAAACTGTTTGGATTTCAGGTTTCAGGGATCCTGGAAGGCAGAGAAAATGGTTCAAAAATTAAGAAGGGGAGTTAAATTTTGGAGCTTTAGCTTGAGCTGATGAATGATGACACTCTAGGTTGATAGGTGTGATAGACTGCAAAACAGAACTCTGGATTCCCTTTGTCCCTCTTCTTCTCTGCAGAAGTAATCTGTCTCTTCATCTCCATGAATCTTATGCCTGTTGTTAGTTTTGACCAATATAATGTGGCAAAAGTAATGCTATGTAACTTTGAAGCCTGGAGCTTAAGGGATCTGTACTTTCTACTTTTACCCCTTGTGGAACCTAGATACCATGTAAGATGTCGGTCCACCTTGCTCTAATGAAGCTCAAACTAGCTACATGGAAGAAAGAGAGGCTACATGGAGGTGCATGAAGTCCCCAGACATATGAGTGAAACATTTTTGGATTTTCCAGCCTATTTCAGCTGCCAGTTGGATGTAGCCACATGGAAGCCATCTTGGACATTCCAACTCTAGCTGATGTCATACAGAACAGAAGAATGGCCCTGCTGAACACTGCCTAAATTTCTGGCCCACAGAATTGTGAGCAAATAAAATTGTGGTAGTTAAAACCATTAAATTTTGCGGTAGTTTGTTATATAGCAATGAATAACTGAAGCTGAGGGTGAGATATTATAAGGGAGATAGGTACACAGCTGTTTCCTGTAAACACTGATGTGAAAATGTGTAGTTTTGGAGGCAACATTGTTCAAATTCTCCCTGTTTGAGTACCTTTGCCAACTCTTGTTGAGCCCTCCCCCATGACCACTTTCTCTTGTATATGACAGAATAGTTTTCAGTACTTTTTTTTTTTTTTGGTTGAGAGAAGCTGTGTCATTGTGTAGCTGAAGATAAATTGTCACATTATTTCTATCCTTCATAGTCTCATTGTCCCCATCTTATACAGCTAGGGTCAAAGAAGGCATTTTTGTAAAATAAATTCCAAAATTGGAGTATTTAGTTCATGGCACAATGCTGAGCATAAAGGGTTGTGAGTTATAGACACTGATGAAATAAACCAGATTACTGGTTAGTCTCACAGGGTGCCATTTAGGCACAGCACATATAGATAATTATTTTCTTGTGAATTATCTAATTTGATTTTCAGTGGTAATTAGATTAGCCAAAGACTTTGGTAAAATAATGTATTGGGACATCACAAATGAAAATTATTCTATCTCTGCTGCCTTTACGGAGACAGACACCATAATTGTAACTCTTTAGATTTCCAAGTAATAATATCAGAAAGCACTGGGGTAAAAGTGTGATGTGAAAGACAACTATTTGTTTAAGGAGAAAATCTTTAAAGGTACATGTTATAAGTACACAGAGGGCATGTGATAACAATTTTGGACTTTCCAAATCCAAAAGTAATGGATATTTATTATCGTAGAAGAACATCTGAAGTTTGGGGAGAAAAGAATTATATAAGGGCAATAGCATCTTGAGGAAGGTCTTGCGCCCATGGTTAATTCCAGGGAATGAAACAAAAGTAAGGATCACCACAGCAACTTTTATTATAGTAATTTATACAGCAGAAATTTTCCTTTCCTTAAAAGCATCATTCAAAACACACACGTGAATGTTTAGACATTGGGTTCATGATACAATGTCTTTGAGACAAGTAAGTTTCACTTGCCTGAGGAGTCTTAAAAAGAGGCCACTAAGGTGCCATGATGTTGAATGAATGGACTGTGTTGGCCTTGCCTCCTTAAGAATTTCTGCTGGGTGCAGTGGCTTGTGCCTGCAATCCCAGCACTTTGGGAGGCCGAGGTGGGAGGATCCCTTGAGATAGAATTTGAGACCAGCCTGGGCAACACAGTGAGACCCTGTCTCTACAAAAATAAAACATAAAAATGAAAATTAGCTGGAAATGGTGGTGCATGCCTGTAGTCCTAGTTACTTGGAAGGCTGAGATGGAAGAATCCCTTAAGTCCAGGAGTTCAAGGCTGCAGTGAGCTGTAATTGCTCCATGACACTCCAGCCTGAGTGATAGAGCAAGACCCTGTCTCTAAAAAAATAAAAATAAAAAGATAAAAAATTCTGCTGTCCTTAATTAAAAATTGATCTGCAGACTCACATGCCTGTTCAGAGTCAATATCTCCTGACCCCTAAACAATTGTGCTAAAACCTAATGATTTGATTATATCTCCTTAGCATTTTTCATGAATTATTTTCCTATTTTAGGTTTTCCTACTCCATGTCAACACTGATATTACAAAGGATCCCTGTCTTGATACCCTACCCTTGGGATAAATGGTGGAACATTTATGTATATATGGTGGTAGACTGTCTTTTCACTGAGCCTGCAGCCCAAGAATTAATTATAAAACAAATTATCAACTTCTAATAATCTTTCTGCAGCTAGAATAATCAGATCATTTTAAAGCATCTGGGGCAATGCTTTAATACAAAGCATACTGTATTAATTAATGGTTTATAAGCTAGCAGAGAGCCTGGCACATAGCAGATGCTCAAGAAATGGTTAGGAATAAATATTAACAAGCCAATCCATAATTATCAGCTGCTTACTGACTATAGCAGTTAAGAGTTTGCACAATATGAAAAAGTTACATTCACTGACTTCTAAAAATGTAGTTGAGACTAGGCAATTCTAATTCACTGCCCTGAATCTATGGATGTTTTTGTTTGTAACCAAGTACCAGGCTCTAACATATAAATGATTTATTGGAGGTAGAATTTTGAATTAAGAGTTAGAAGAGCCTAGAAATAAACCCAGGCACATACGGTCAATGATGTTTGACAAAGGTGCCAAGAATATACAACGGGAAAGAGATAGTCTTTTCAAAAAATGAAATTGGGCAAACTGTATATCCACATGCAAAAGAATAAAATTGGACCCTTACCTTACACAATACACAAAAATGAACTTGAAATGAATTAAAGATTTAAATGTGAGTCCTGAAACCATAAAAGTCCCAGAAAAAATAAGGAAAAGGCTTATTGACATTGACTGTGGCAATGATTTCTTTGATATGACAACCAAAAGCACAGATAGAAAAAGCAAAAATTGACAAGTGGGATTACATCAAACTGAAAAGCTTCTGCACAGCAAAGCAAACCATCAACAAAATGAGAAGACAACCTACAGATTGGGAGAAAATATTTGCAAACCATATCTGATAAAGGACTAATACCCCAAATACATGAAGAACACATTAGCAAAAACCCAGATAACTCAATTAAAATAATGGGCAAAGGAATTGAATAGATATTTCTCCACAGAAGATGTACAAATGGCCAACAGGTATATTAAAAGGTGCTCAATGTCACTAACCATCATAGACATGCAAATCAAAATCACAGCGAGATATCCTGTCACACCAGTTAGAAGATCTATTATCAAAAATATGCAAAGAACAAATTTTGGTGAGGGTGTGGAGAAAAGGGAACCTTTATACACAGTTAGTGGAAATGTAAATTAATGCAGTCACTATGAAAAATAGTATAGAAATTCCTAAAAAGTAAAAAAAAAAATCGGGGTACCATATGATCCAGCAATCTCATTTCTGGGTATATATCCAAAGAAGTGAAATTAAGGTCTTGAAAAGACACCTGCCTTCCCATGTCCATCTCAGCATTATTTACAATAACCAAGACATGGAAACAACCTAAGTGTCTATCATTGGATGAAAAGATAAAGGAAGTGTGGCCTATACATACAATGGAATATTATCCAACCTTAAAAAAGAAAGAGATACTGCCATTGGTGACGACATGGATGAATCTGGAGAATGTTACGCTAAGTGAAGTAAGCCAGACAGGAGGATAAATACTGCACATTTTTACTTATATGAAAAATCAAAAATAGTCAAACTCATAGAAGCAGAAAGGAGAATTATGGTTTCCAGGGCCTATGGGAAGGGAGAAACAGAGAGGTAAAGGTCAAAGGGTACAAATTTTCAGTTACGCAAGATGAGTGAGTTCTACGGATATACTACTGTACAGCATAGTGCCTATAGTTAATAATACTATATGGTATATTTAAAAATTTGCTAAAAGGGTAGATCTTCTGTCAAGTGTTCTTATGACAATAAACAGTAATAATAAAGAGGGTGGGAGGAAGCTTTTAGAGGTGATGGACATGTTTATGACATTGACTATGGTGATGGTTTCATGGGTATATACTTATCTCTAAACTCATCACGTTGTGTACTTTAAATATGTACAGCTTTTTGTATGTCCATTATACCTCAAAAAGTTTTTTTTTTTTTAAATGTGGGCTGTACACGGTGGCTCACGGCTGTAATCCCAGCACTTTGGGAGGCCGAGGCCGGTGGATCATGAGGTCAGGGGATTGAGACCATCTTGGCTAACATGGTGAAACCCCGTCTCTACTAAAAACACAACAACAACAACAAAATTAGCCGGGAGTCCCAGCTACTCGGAGGCTGAGGCAGGAGAATGGAGTGAACCCGGGAGGCGGAGCTTGCAGTAAGCCGAGATGGCACCATCATACTCCAGCCTGGGCGACAGAGAGAGACTCCATCTCAAAAAAAAAAAAAAAAAAGGTCAGGAACAGTCCGAGTGTAGTGGCTCAAGCCTATAATCACCGCACTTTGGGAGATCGAGGCGGAAGGATTGCTTGAGCCCAGGAGTTTAAGACCAGCCTAGGCAAAATAATGAGACCTCATCTCTTAAAAAAAAAAAAAAAAAAAAGCTGGTAACATGTGGACTGACTGCACTTACATCATGTCATGGAAACCTAAATGATACGTTACTTAGTGATATAGTTATCTATGTAAATTAAAAATAAAAGCAAATAAATTATAAACAAACAAAAATGAGCCAGAAGACTTGGATTGTAGTCATGTAGACTCTGCTGCATAGGAGGTGACTTTGGGCACCTCACTTCACATCTCTCAACACCAGCTTTCTTACTTACATAATTGAATTCATAATATAACCCTTTATGAGGATCACCTTGTGTGATGTGTATTAAAGCAATTAGCCAAAGCTTAGGTTAGCCCTATGCCCATCACCCTTACCAAACCTGCAAACCAGTTGAAACTTACTTGAATATGTTTTACACTGTGACTGAAACTTCAAATGTCATGTATTAAAAACAAAAACAACCTTTAAGATAGTAATCTAGGAGCTTCTGAAATGTATAAGTAATGACATCAAACTTCATTTTGTTTTTAGTCCAGACAAACCTTCTGCATAAATACCTATTCCATGGGTCTTTACATATGGCCCCAATTTTTCTAAATAATAGAAAACCGAAATGTATCCTTGGGTTTTGTAAATGGTAATGCACATTGTCTATGGAAGCAGCATCTGTACCAAGGAGGTCACCATTTCTTGGGAACAGAAGATGAAGAAGTGAATTGAAGAATACAAAACAGGAGGAAAGAAAACGCAAAAGCACTCCATCATCAGATGCGAAGGTCCTAGGGAGTAGAATGCAAGAAATCTGTCAGCTTGGGCAAAACTCAGAACTTGGGGATGAAAAATATGAATGCTAAAATCACAAATGTGCTGATGGCCTTTTTGCTGTATGGAAGAGAACAAATAATCAACCCACTACAAAGATGCAATCGTGTGGACAGCTCTGGAACAACAGCACCTACTTTGCAGTATGACATGTAGTTTCCATTCAGGGAAGCCCCAGTCAGAGGAGCAGTGTTCCAGTGGGTGGGTCTGACGTCAGGAAGGTGGATTCCATCCGACTTACAGCTGCGCCAAAGGCCGACTTTGGCAGCAATTCCTGGGCTATAATTTTATAAACAGTCTTCTCTTTCCAGACTTCCAATGTGAATTTAGACCTCAGCACAGATTCTGTCTCACATCTTTATTCTGTGTCATCACATTCTAATCCGATGACAAACAGTTGGTCTGAGATTTCAGTATATTACTATATTAGTGCAATTTATGTCCTGTGTGGAAGTTGATGAAGTGTAAAGACTATACTGCGGACTCGCCTGGATTCTAATCCAGCACCTAAACGGATAGTGTTGCTTTGGTGATCACAACGGCACTGTGTTATGAAATCAAATAGTTAGTTTGTGGTGCTGGCTCACTAGAAGGCACTGGCAGTGCTATTAATCACATTTTCCAAAAACTGGGCCAAAGCGCTGTGATTCTTCTTAAAATAATCATCACTATAATTTGGCGTTGAGTCATGCCATGTTTTGCTAGATAAAGTTTACAGAAATATTATTTTTAAATGCATACACTACTTTAAATAAGAAAGATATGTAGAATGCAGTGGATTCAGCTGAGAAGGCAGAAGATAACTACAGAGGTTACACGAGGCTGCCACTGCCTCATCAAGCAGACAGCGGCTTGATTCTCCTTGCTTAGAGAAAGAGGTAGTGCTAGATGGCAAACCAATTAGCCAAGTGCATTCTCATTCCAAGTTTCCTTCAGCTTTTTTTTTTTTAAAGAAATTTCCACCACTTGAAAGTAGTGCAGTCTCCTGGCACATCCCAGAAGAAGTAGACCTTAAATAGATGAGCTCAAGAAGGATAGAAAGTAAATCAATTTCCATTTTCACAAGCCTGGGTCTGTTCATTTTCAGAGACGACAAATCATGCAGAAAATAGTGCCAAATTACTCATGGTTTAATAACAATTTCGCAGAAAAGGCAACTGATCTCCACAGCTGTTATGCTCAGGACTATGTCTGGAGAGAGGTGGCTAGACCTGGATTGGGATATCAGGGTGAGGACTTAATGCCTCAGGGACTAAAGCCTCACTCTTTGCTTCCTGACTTGGCGTGGTGACGTAAACAAGATGCTCTACCTCGGGCAGCTGCCAAGTTGCTCTGCAGTACTCAATGCTATTTGTCATGTCTCCTTGTGACTGGCCTT